TTTTTGGGGCGTATATTATCAGCCTTTTGGTCCAATACGCAACAATAAATTAGATGGTAAGTAAATGTCAGCTTTTGCCGACACTCGCACGTCTTCCTCTTAAAAAGCCCAAAATTAAGGAATACCACTCCTTTTCCATTTCCCAAACTCATTTGACTGAAGAAAATTTTTTCCTCTCACGTTCCTTCTCATTTCTCCTCCTCCTCCTCCTCCAACCCTAATCACCCAATATCACATTTTCTTCTTCCCCTCGCTACTGACACCATAATCACCCTCTCCACTCACTTTCTGAAAATCCTAATCGCCCAAAACCTCTAGCACTACACCATCCTCCGTCGTAGCCACAAGCCCCTGTACCACGCCAACATCCATCTAAGCTGGAAATGGCTCGAAACTCACTGGTGGAGGAGTTCTCGCTGAATCAAATTATGGTGCATTTTTTTGGGAATTTATTCGTAATTACTCGACTTGCTTTTAGTTTGTCATGATATTTACATTATTAACTTCATTTTTTAGCTCGAAGAGGGTTTTCCTTTGTGGACGTCGGCCTCCGGACCTCCGGTGAGTGGGATCGCGATGGAATTTCCAGCGAGCGAAGGGGCTTTGTCCTGCTTGCCGCAGACCATATCCAAGCCAAACTCCATGAGGTTGATCTTAGACGCCAGGTATTTTTATTTTTTAATATTACTATTTACTGGTGAAGTTGTGTAAACCATCAGTGGTTGCTAGATGAACATGTTGAAATTGGGGAAATAGTTAATGGGTTTTGTACAAATTTGATTTAGAGCTCATGCTTTGAACTGGTTTTTGTATTTGATTGAGATCATGTGTGATGTATATTTGTTGAATTCCAAAGATAATCTTTTGGTCGGATTAGATCAACCTGTTTTTTGCCTAATATACTCTTTGAATATTATAAATTATTGGCCAATAAAGGTTAACATGGAGTCAGATTACAGGTTCAAATTACTTTCACCTCTGTTAAAGCTTTTCGGATGAAGTCTGAGATGACGTTTCTGTGGATAAATGGAAGACATATATATTAGTAGATTCTGGAGAACTATGAGAGTGCAATTTATAGCATTTGCATAGATTTTTTAGCTTTCGATTCATTCGTAGGATCGGCGCCCTTCTCCTCCAGAAAGATTACTTTCAT